TTCAAGTTATGATTTGTTTTAGGAGACGCACTTCCTAAATTGAGACTTTACCCCTAGGAGATGCACTTCCTAGTTTGGGTCATTGATGCACTTCCTAGGTTGAGTCATTGAAGTTCTACCCCTAGGAGATGCACTTCCTAGTCTGGGTCTTTCAAGTTATATTTTGTTTTAGGAGACGCACTTCCTAAATTGAGATTTCACCCCTGGGAGACACACTTAGTTTGGGTCATTTAAGCTCAACCCTAGGAGACGCACTTCCTAGTTGGTTCATTCAAGTTTCACCCCTAGGAGATGCACTTCCTAGTCTGGGTTTTTCAGGATATACTTTTAGGAGATGCACTTCCTAAATTGAGATTTCACCCCTAGGAGACGCACTTCCTAATTTGGGTCATTTAAGTTTAGCCCTAGGAGATGCACTTCGTAGTTTGTTCATTCAAGTTTCACCCGTAGAAGACGCAATTCCTAATCTGGGTCATTCAGATTTTATTTTTAGTAGATGCATTTTCTAGTCAAATTTTCTTGGTTTTACTCACAGGAGACGCACATCTTAGTCGAGTTTTTAGTTTACTCTCATCATTGCATCTAACATAAGTGGTTTACAGTTTTGCTAACAACTCACAAATCTTTCGAGTGCAAACTGGGGCAAAAAATTTCATTTGTTTTGTTGTTTTTATTGCAGGCACCCACCTAGAGAACAAGGGAAGTCATTTCAGAATTCAATTCAAGTTAGAAGTAGCAGAAGCTCGCGGCAAGAATGCGAGTCAACGGTCCGAGATGATCAACAGAAGTAGTCTCAATCCAGAAAAAAAAGAAAAAGAAGTGAATCCAAATGCAGTAGCAGAAAAAAAATGTGAACTGCTCAAGACGTGGATGAAGTCACGAGCACGGCATGTCCCCTTTTGATCTGAAAAAGCCATGGAAGAGTGAATCAGCACCTGCAGCTACCAAGCATCAAGGTTCGAATCAAAGTCTGCATGAAGAACCGTTCAAGACTCAATCAAGCTTTAGAAGACTTATAGATAGGAATCTTGTAACTAATAGCCGACAAGTTTAGTTAGTCATTTTTATTTTTGATTTTGATGTAATAGCAGGGCTGCGGACCGGAACCTCGACGGAACGGCACCTCAATCGGCTCTCCACCTCGGTATACTCCATCACTGTTCCTATTTCTGAACTACACGTGGCCTGATTCCTTTATAGCCAATGATATGTAGGCAGCTCAGATACCAGGGCTCGGCCATATTCTCCTTTCTTTTAGCTTTTTGGTCTCTCTAAATAAGGGTCGGGTCAAAAAACCTGTCTCGTCGTTCTTTGTCTGAAAACTCTTCGTGTTTCCAGTCAAAGAGGGGCAGCTGTAGACATGTAATTTTTGACCCTCCCCGAGATTTTACATATTTTAGCATTTAAATATTTAGTTTAGATCAAAGATCGCTATTTTAACTAGCTTTGACTCTTTTACTTTATTTTATCACAAAAATAAAAATTAAAAAAAAAATAGTTTCATTAATGTTTTTGTAGTCATACTATTTTACTAGGATTTTTATTTTTATATAATCTTGAAAAAATACCAAAATAGTTTCATAATATTATATTATTTATTTTAATTAATTATAATTAGTTTATATTTTATATTAGAAATTTTATATCATTTTTAGAAGAAAGAGTATGAAATTTGAGGCTAGTTTTATTTGGTCTTAATTCAAGAGGTCCAAGAAATGGCCCAATTTTAAAGCCCAATACCCTTAAACCCATAAAAAAGGGAATTTTTACCTCCTATAGCAAAGGTTGATACCTTATTTATTTTAAATAAATACCCTTTTAAAAAATTATATTCCATAGCTACCTTTTGATTTTTGTAGCCAAATATTTATTTATGGTCAATTCCTACCCTTAAGCCATAAAATACGTTTTGTATTATTTTTCTCTCTCATTCTTTCAGATTTTTCTCCAACCTCCCTCTCTCAACGCCTGTCTTTCTCCATGAATACAACCATGATTCTCCACTGATTCATCTCCATTGTCGAACGAAATTTTCATTGTCAGTGGCCTGGGCCTCTAAATCAATGTCGAAATCAAACCCTAGAGAGAAAGATGGAGGTTCGAAATCTGCTATTGAAAGGTAAATTGGGGCTGACAATGAAAATTTAGCAGATTGTGCAATGGGCTTTGGTAAAGGGACCACCGTCGGCAAAGCCGGCCAATTCTACGTCGTCACCGACTCTTCCGACGACAGCAGCAACCCTAAGCCGAGAATCCTCCGTCACGCTGTCATTCAAAAGGAGCCATTGTAGATCATTTTTTCAAAAAGCATGACCATTAGATTACATCAGGAGTAATCTTTGATGTAATTACTCAAAGATTACGCAAATACAGAAAAGGGTTGCTGGAGTAATTACATCAACTACATAAGTAATTTTTGCAAAAAGCATGACCATTACTCACTGTCAGGTATTTTCGAAAGGAATTTTTTGGGTACATTGGGGCTGACAATGGAGGTTCGAAATCTGCTATCGACGAGACGATATTAGGATTATTCTTGAACAAAGACGATAGAGTTTGGGGCTGAGCAACTTGAAGAGTCTGTTACCTTTTTTCATTGTATTTCAATGTATCTCGTTGTATTCTACGTATTTCATCATATTCATTGTTTTTTTTCATTGTATTTCGATGTATCCCGATGTATTCTATGTATTTCATTTTATTCACTATCTCGCTATATGCCATGAATGTATTCATATATTTTTTTTAATTAATATAATTCATGTATTCAGATGTATTATATAATTTCTCTGAAGATTGCTATGTTTTTGGGGTATTTTTCGGTTGAGGATCTTTTTTATAACTTGAAATACAAAATTTGTGTGTTATAATTGAGTTTGTTGAGTTATATTAGGAGTCTATTATGTTAATTGATTCACTTTCCGTTAAAAACAGTGTAATCCCCTATTTCACGCCGTGAATACAGTCGAATACAATAATTTGTCCAGCTGTAATCCCATGTTTCACTCCATGAATACAGTCGAATCCACTAAAACAACCAGTCGTTCCCTCTTCTGAACACACCCTAAGCTAGGGGTGTGCGTCGGTCGGTACGGTACGGTACGGTATTTAGATATTTCGGTTCGGTATTTTCGGTATTCGGTTTCTTAAAATCTTATACCAATACCGTACCTAATTAAATTCGGTATGGTTCGGTTTTTCTCCTTTCGGTTTCGGTTTATTCGGTTTGAATACTAACGTGCATAGAGCTATAGACTTTAATATTCCTAATTAGAGTACTCAAAAATACAAAACTAAAAATGTTTGTTGACAATTTTTTTGTCCAAAACTAGAAAGTATCGACCCAAATAGAGAAAATTGTATATAAAAGCATATTTGATCATTAGAAATGTCTTGTTACTTGCTTTTAGAGTTAATTGATGAACTTAGAGAATAAAGGAAAGTAAAATTTTAGATTTTTTATATTTATGTTATAATTGATAATATGTGTTTTGTGTAATATAATATATATTTCGGTACGGTATCGGTATTTCGGTATTTTATTTTAAAATACCAAATACCATACCTAATACCAATATTTTAAAAACTTAAACCAAATATCATACCAAATACCAAAATACCGTATACCAAATACCAAAATTTTAGGTTTCGGTACGGTAATTCCGTAGAGAAATTTTCATAAAGCACTATCTTTTATTGGTAATTAGCTATCTATAGATACCATTTGCTATATTACGGATTGTAGATATGTTTTCTGTTGTTATAAGATGTATTAGATGTATTTAAGCTGTTATATTCATGAATACAATAGCAAAAATAGGCGTGAATCAGGGAAGTCCAGCTTATCAGTTGTTGTATTCGAGTGTATTCGATTGTATTTATGGCGTGAAACATGGGATTACAACTGGACAGATTATTGTATTTGAATGTATTCGACTATATTCACGGCGCAAAACAGGGGATTATTAAACGGAAAGTGAATCAATTAACATAATAGACTCCTAATATAACTCAACAAACTCAATTATAACACACAAAAATTGTATTTTCCAGTTATAAAAAAGATTCTTAACCGAAAAATACCCCAAAAAGATAGCAATCTTCAGAGAAATTATATAATACATCTGAATACATAAATTATATTGATTAAAAAAAAAATATAAACACATTCATGGCATATAGCGAGACAGTGAATACAATGAAATACATAGAATACAGCGGGATACATTGAAATAAAATGAAAAAAAAGACAGTGAATACAATGAAATACATGGAATACAACGACATACATTGAATTATAATAAAAAAAAAGATAATGAATATAATAAAATACATGAAAATAAACCGTGATACGTTGAAAATACATTGAAGTATATTAACAGAAAATCAAGTTGCTCAGACCCAAACTCTGTCGTCTTTATTGAAGAACAAACCCTAATTGTCGGCGAATCCGCCGTCGAGCAAAAACCCCTGTGTTGTGCGCGCCGATCGAAAAAAATAGTATATTCCTCAAAATAAATCCCACAATTCACATTATCAGAATCCAAACACTTAATTTCTTCTTTCTCTAATATTAACATACCTATAGCTTTCAAACAGCAACAAAGAAGAAAGGAGAAGAAAGAAAATAAGAAAAAGAGAAGAAGAAGGAAGTGGAAGTAGTGTCTGAAGTTTGCTCAAATCGGGTATATATTAAGAAAATTAAGCGAAAGCAACGTCCGATGGAATTGGGGAAATCAGGATCGGAGAGAACGTAGGTGATGTGGGTGAGAGGAATTTTGAGATTGAGCATCGTGTTTTCAGGGAATGGGGAAGAGAATGGCATGTAGAGAAAGAAAATAGTATAACTGAATAGCGTATTTAGTGGCTTAGGGGTAGGAATTAATTAAAATTAGATATTTTGCTATAAATATTAAAAGGTAGGTATAGAATATAATATTTTAAAATTATATTTATTTAAAATAAATAAGGTGTTAATATTTGGTATATGAGGTAAAAATTCCAGTTCCGTATTTACCAAATTACACACGGCCCTCTTCTTCTTCAACCCTTAATAGACCCAACTCCACCACCCTTACACCACCAAGCCGCCAGCAACTCCGTCCTCACCCCCCATCGCCGAAAACACACACACAGAGATAGAGGATGATACAGTGAGAAACGAACAGAGAGGACAGCCGAAAAACCACCCCTGGTTCTCCAAAAACCATCCGCCTCTCCCTCCGATGTCTACCACCAGAACCGCCGGAAAATCTGCTCCAATTGTCCCCTCTTTCATCTCTAGTGAAACGGGAAACTGAGGTTCGAGAAAAACCAGCCAATACCTCCATTAACACCGCACACAAACACCATGAACACCACATAAAATCGATTTTCTGCCGTCAAATCCCTCTTCGTCGATGAACTCAGTTTTCCCGGCGAAAATTCCGGTGGCATCAGTCATCTATTTCAGTCATCGTTGAAGATTCGAGGTTGATTGATTGGGGTGCTGTTCGAAGTTGTTTTGTTCGAGTTCCGTCTGTCTCCAATTTCGGCTTTAGTAGTTGGCTTACGTTGCTTGTGTAATTGCTGAAAATTTCAGTTAATTGAAGCTTTAATTTCAGGTCTGTTTTTCTTTCTTTCCTTTTTACTTGCTTTGATATTGAAGTTCAATGTGACTGAGTGCCCTGTTTGCTTGGTTTCAACGTGCTCTATCGGATTCCAATCTGATTTGTGGTTGCATAGATCTCTTGGAGTATTCTTGGCGTCACCTTTAGGCTTAGACCTGCTTCGAACATGTTTAATTCAGTTTGGTTATTGTATGAAGGATTAGTGATGTGCTCGTCATGATTCTCACGAATATCCCTGTTTGTTTGGTTGATTTTGAGCTTAAAATGTAGTCGTAGTGTAATAATAAGTAATTCGATGATCGTTTAATGTTGAAAGAGGATTCTGTAACTACGGATGTGAACAATGACAGAATAGATAATTCAGAGGTAGTTGATTCGCATTTGAGAGGAAGTGATAATTCAAGTTCAAATCTTTTGTTCGATTTAGCCGAGTTGGTGATAAAAGTTGTTGGCTTTCAAGTGAATATGTTAGTCTTGTTACTATGCTGATTAAGGATCACATTTTGATGGTTTCTTCTTTTCTGTTAAAACATGCCAATAGTTTAGTTGAAGTCTAAGGACAATATGAATTCATGCTAACTCCACGATCGATTGATTTGTTTCTACATTGATCAACATTCCATGACTAGAGTTTTGGCATTCTTTGTAAGGATTGTGTTTCCCGGTTAACTTAGAAGGATGTCAGGAAACGAAATGAATCAGAAGTAGGAGCTCTCATTTAGTTTTGTTTCATTTGTTTATGTTATTACTTAACCGCTAGGAATATGCTTAGGCCGACCACACGTGGGTAGGTAAACTTTTAGGCGCGTAAATGAATCATCGTGACTATGGGTATGGTTCCCGTGTCATAGTCATGATACGTAATCCCCAATTCGAATGTGCGTTTCACGCGACTCGACCACAACTTCTAATAATAATAAAAATAAACATGTTGTAAATCGCGGGTGCATTTCATATGACGCGGTTTGCAATGTGTACCAAAACGACAAGTGTACGACAATCATGACTTGTTCCAGAAAATAATTTTAGAAATAATTAAAAAGCGGTTTTAAAAAGGTTAAAAATGCACAATAGGTTCTAAATATGTAATTAATCAGATAATTAGGCCAATCATTAATAGTTGGGCGACCGTGCTAAAACCACGGAACCCGGGAATGCCTAATACCTTCTCCCGGGTTAACAGAATTCCTTACCCCGCATTTCTATGTTTCGCGGACTGTAAAACAGAGTCAAACTTACTCGATTCAGGATTTTAAACCGGTGACTTGGAACACCATAAATTATCCCAAGCGGCGACTCTGAATTTGAATATAAATAATTCCGTTTCGATTATTGTCACTTAAATTGGAAAAAATCCCTATCCCTCTCGAGAAAAAGGAGGTGTGACATTGTTGTTAGATATCTCGTCTATATGTATCTTCTTTTCCCCTGGCCTCCCGTGTGTTAGAGATCGAAAAGGTCAAATCTTGACTGATTCTGTCAATATATGATTGAATTGCGAAAACTTTTGAATATGTATCCTACGTCTAAACCGAATTCTTTTTAGTTAAAGAATCTCTTTGTAGTTGCTTTGGAACAACTACTTATATGCATACCTTTTTCTAGTTGATCCACACCACCCTCTATTCTCGTAAGACAATACACACTTGCTAACAACCCGCTAAATGCACTACTACATCATAGGCACAACAAGAATTACTTTTTCGTTGCTTGAGCAGAACAGAGGCTTTCTTTGATTTTTTTTAAGTCAGTTTTCAAGCATGTTTCATCCAGTTATTTTTATTCTTAAGGGCTATAGCATCTCCAACTGGTCTTTGAAGTAAGGGTTGCCATTCTGCATTTGCTCGAGGTACATGGCTGACAGACATCATGTTGATCAACAGCACAATACTGAACCACAGATAAATTCTCATACGCCAAAGGACGACATGATCGCCTGTGTGATAGCATTAGAAGCTGCATTACTACCGTGTTTGCCTGCACGAGAACTCCAGGCAATAGACCGTTCAGCCCATCCATATCATCAGAGTGAGTAATTTCAGGCCTATAGCTGTATGTGCAATCCTTACCAATTTTCTTGAATTAGTGCAAATCTTGTGTCTCTAGCATTGTGAGATGAGTCTTTTGAAGGATAAGCTTAGTGATAAATCAGAAGAAAGCAATAAAACTGAAATAGTCACTTATATCCTATGTATGCTAACTTCTGTCTTGCTTTATAATCTCTTCTCTGAGTGTTATTTTTGAAGCTCTATGTCATCCTTAATTAATGTTCAGAGAAGCTCAATCTCTCATGAATGCTTGTGTTTGAGACGTGAGGTTTTGGCGTTTTGTTGAATTGTTAATTCGTACACCAGTAAAGTTCCACAACTGAAATATGAATACAAGTAAACTATCTTTTTCAGCACAGGGGTATTCGGGCTAGCTTGCTTGCGCCTCAACTTATTCACCTAGCCCTTGGTACCTCCCCCACTAGCACAAGTATCGGATAATTCTGTCCACCACAGTTTGGCCAAATAGAAGAAATCACCTAGCAATTCTTAGTTCTGTTGAGATTTGAACCGTCGTCAGTTCCTACTTCACAGATCATCCGGGTGGAATATGAATCCAACTAGACTACTGTTTTGTTTTGTTTTTTTTAATAAATGATTTGTACAAATAGGAAGAAATTATCTAGAACTTTTTGCCTTTGTTGAGATTTGAACCCTGACTTTCATGGTTCATTCTAGCTTCATCGACCACTAGCCACACCCTTGGATGCAACATGAATCCAACTACTATTATTATGTTGCTATAATTTGTTTTTCCATTTGTGCAAGTTTTTGAAGATTTCCATGAATATGCAGAACCCACATGAAAGATCGTACTTGAGCATTAAAATAGTAAATAATAATAAAGGACAGTTCCAAGATCTTACTTGGGTTTGGAGCTTTAAAGCTTTCTGGTGATTATATAGGGGTCAGTGACAGTTATTTGAGGGGAGGAGTATTTTAGTGAAGAAAGTCAAATTGCCATAAGCGATTTAATCATATAGTAAGGCGGGATGGCCAGAGCTCTAAAAACAAATTGCTTTTATCGTTTTCGATCTATTGTAAAGTCTATCATGTATGCTCTATGTGATTTAATGCACTAGTCATCAATAGTTCTTTTTCTTTGGATGAGTAGATGATTACAACTAGTCATCAATTGTTTCAGGCTCTTCAGAGATTAGCTTGAATGAACCAAATATTGCACATTTTGGTCAAAAGTCAGCATAGGGTATACTGAACTGGACAATTTATCCAGGCTTCTCTCTTCATTGCTGAAGCAAAATTATATGTCCTCTGATTCAAGATTCCTTTATGTATTTAAAAATATGAGTACCCAACTACTGGTAACAACATCACAGCTAAGTTTTCTTAGCATTGCATTTTCTTTGGGATGAGTGGAAAAATTAACCGCATCTAATGCTCTTTTTCAGAATTTTCTAGAAACAGCAACATTGAAATAAAGCTGTATTGCCTTGTTTTGTATCTTTTCCTTTTTTGTCTTAGTGTCTTTTTAAAATTTACAGTGTAGCTGCTGGGCTTATTAGCTGTGGAATTCATTGATTTGTTTTTTCTCTTTTGGCTGATCGAGGTTGAAATTTTTTTCATTACCTAGTCGATGTAGAGAGACATGCCAGAGATTTCATGGAGGCTGCCAAGAAACTTCAACTTCATTTGATCGGGTTGCAACGCGAAGATCTGCCTACAAGGCCAGAGATGCTTAGGAAGGTAATTTGTTGGTAATATTATGATTGATATCGTAGTACCTACGGACTCCTTGCGGTTACCTCCCCTTTCTACTTTTGTTAATGGATTATTACGGATTCTAATTAATTTCTACGTGCAGGAGATTGAAAAGATGGAAGAAGAGTTGAAAACGAAGACTGAACTCATAGCTAAGCAGGAGAGACTGATCCAAGGCTGGAGGGAAGAGTTGAAGGACCAACTGGATAAACACATCATGGAGTTAGAAAGGGTGTAGCAGTACAGTGATGGAAACCAACACATAACTTTTGTTTTATTTGTGATTCAATTTGGATACTGAGTTGGAATGGCAAGTCATTGTTTAATGTCTACTTTAGTTATTATTTTTCTTAATTTTGGTGGTGTCCGGACTAGTTTGTATGCACGTTGACTATTCTATGTACCTCCTATATGTCATCATGTATCGACTAACTCAGCATCTTCTGTGATTGATGCAGTAAGTTTAGCTGCTTGCGAATTTAAATGATTTTTTGTAACAAAAAAATAGTTTATTGAGGTTGGTGCAATAAAATGAAATTGAGTGATCATTCTTGAAAACATACCTTTACTTTTCAATGTGAATTCAGGACAACTGTTACCCCTTGACAAAGGTCCTCGACAGGTGTGGGTTGTGGCAAGGATTTTCATGATGGACTTGGCAACAACCTTAAAATTGGGACAATATCATGACGGGCAGCTCGGCATGACGGATTATGCGGGGTTGACAAACGCACCTTGAACGGAAGCAAAGCGCATTTTACTTGGATGTGCGGGTTGGCTAAACAATGGCAAGGCAAAGCCATGTCAAGCAGGGGCTAAGACATGGCAAGACAAGGCAAGGCAGTGCGGGACAAGCAATAACAATTGATGCGGGCAGATTTGATCAAGTTGAGGGCGGCTTGACAAAGCGGGCAGCTGTGGCAATGAGCGTGTGCGACCAAGTCAGTGGGCGGTGAGCTATGATCATGGCATTGGGGCGGAGCAATGTCAAAGGGCGAGGCTGGGCGCAATGCCAACCTTGGGCGTGCAGGAATTGGCCAAATCAAACACATGCAGTGCACATGATGGAGCGGTTGAGCGGTTACAACTGCCCATTTCAAGCATTGTTGATCATGGGCACATTTTTAGATCATGGCTGACTTCGTGACTTAGTGCTACACGTTTTTAACATGTTCTCCCATCAGTTGGGGCTTGTAAACTTACTTGTCTAAATCCTGCCAAGCGTAATTGGGCAACAGCACTATAAATATGTGCATAAGCTGTCCCAAATGGGCAGAACTTAGCTTTTGTGTATTTTGTTAAGTCAAAATCGTCTAAGTCATTTCCTAAGGGTGGGAAAATCGTTTTGGACAGGGAATTACGGAATTCTTTGTCTTGGCCAAAGGGTTGGCTATTGTGTTCTTGTATTCACATATTAATACGAGTTGGGAAGAAATTCCTGTATATCGTGTGTGCCTTTATTTACTATTTTTGCTGCCTAAATCTTTCTAAGTTTAAAACATCCCTAAAATAAAACTAAGTGTTGGAAAGGCTGAAGTCAAGGCTGGGCTTAACTGCCGCACGGAGGTGAACCTCGGGCAGAATTCGAGTGACATTAATCACCCCTGTGACAACAACCATATTGGGCTAGGAAAATGCAGCTTTCAATACATAACTAACAAAAAAACATAATTCTACTCCATATTTGAAATCTTGAAAACATAGCATTGTAAAATGCTTAGATTCCAATACTATGAGTGCTTTACAGTACACCATATAATTTGATCAAATTAAAAACAATTCATTCTTCTCTCAAAGCCAACCCTTTTATCCACACCCAATTCAGCTCAATTAATTAACCCCTCCTGTAAATATTTACAAGAAAGAGAGCATGAACATGTATCAGGAAACCTGCATATCCATTTGAGAATTGCGATTCTCCGCGTTGGTAATTCCTACTTCTATCTAAGCCAAAGTCTTAATTCTTCAAATATTTTGCAACCTACCTAATTCTTCTACTATAAACCAGCAAACATAAAATTCCTCATTGTATCTAATATATAACATGAGCAAACTGAATCATCTCAAGGATGATTTTCACCAATGAGTTTGTTCAAAAGCCTCGTCAACAGGGCATCCCTCTTTTCAGCTCGGCTCTCCTCTCTCATTCTCCTTTGCTCCTCTCTCTCCCTCCAAGCCTGTTCAATCATCATCCTATCCCTTTCGAGCTTCTCCATTGACGACCGCCATTCCTGCTCAAATACTTCTCTTTCACGAGCACGCTTCTCCATTGTCTCTCTCCATTGCATCTCAATCCTCAGTTGCTGCTGAAAGAAATCTTTAAGCATTTCTTGAATATTTTCAACAGTTCTACCACTGTTGTTAGTACTTCCTAAGCTGGGTTGTCTTGAAGGTTTCTCTGCGATGTTTGCTCTTGGTCGCTTTACTTTTTCAATTTTCTTTTTGGGAGCAACATTGCTTTTTGCTAATTTTACTTCATCACTCTCATAGGCATAACCTTCTGCATCTTCTGAGACTTCCTCTGAAGATTGATCTCTAATTGTTCTCCGAGGCCTCTTCCTTGCCTGTTGGGAACCAGCCTCAGATTCAAACTGTAGTTGATTTAGGTTATTTGTGCTTGCTGTAAAAAGTGCATGCAACTCATCAAAATATGGAAATTGTCCGTCATTATCCGGATCAGATGATTCCTTGCCCTGTGAAGGTTTAAAGCTTCCATTAAAACAAAATCTAAAGGAAATATGCAAGTTTCTCCGGAGCAAATTCAAGACATAAGAAGGGTAACTTTTTTTTTTTTTGATGAAGAAGTGTAACTTTCTCTCTTTCATCTTTTGCAGCTTTTCAGTTCATTAGATAATGAGATAATCTGGTAGGTAAGATGCACCAGGAAAGCTCTTGTTACACCTAAAGAGACTCCTGGATAGTTGAATTTCAATAGTTAATGAATCTATAAACACAAAGTGACATGTTATAAAGCTGTGAAGGCGCTATATATTTTGGACCTGTACTAATACGAGTGAACTACATACATGACCAAGCGCCACGTTTTCTCTGTGACTTATGAAAACCATGGATAGATTTATGGCAGACACAGAAAGTTAAGAAGTATCTTGCAGCGAAAACCGAATATGATGATAGTGGATCTTAGCGATAACCTGACTTAGAAGAAAGCAGCAAACAAATGATAAAGCAGTAAGAAGAGGCCTTCAAGATTCAAGCAGGCCCTTAAGCAAAAACAACTTCATAGTCCATATATAGGTTTTTATTCTGGCTCACTATTTTTAATAATATTTCACCAACTTATATGTTGACCTGTGGAAATAGAAATCTAATAACTTGCTCTGCAAATTCAGCCAAAGACACAATCATCTCTCTCCCCGGGGAGGGTAAAGATATTATAACAGCAAACAACTACATCAAAGTTCTCCTCATGCATTTCCATTTTTTAAGAGAATGAGCTTCTAGTAAGCATGAAACTAGTCAAATTGTCTATCTTCTACTCCTATTCAATCCTTCATTGCCCTATAGTAGAGAATACACACTGGTATGATCGTCCTTCTAAGAAGACATCCAATAGTCCCACAGAAGGCTTTACTCCTTCATACTTGACTTTCATTTTCTTCGGTTCAATCAACTTGCCAAAAATGTTTCTAAATATTACTTGGGAAATAGTAAGAATGATTTGTTTCTAGGAGTTGCAAAGTGTTATCACTGAGTACAAGTGTTGGGGAATATCAGTCTGCTTCTTATTCCAAAAACAAAAAGAACTTTTCATTCTTCCTCCTAAGAAAAGGAGAGAAAAGGACGGGCTGGGAAAGGGGTGTAGCTGATATCTACACACAAGGCATAGCTCATGCTCTTGATTAGTAAAGGATCCCAGGGAACGAACCTTGGCTAACGGAAGGTAGATAAATTTATCCTAGTGGGATCTCATGCAATACACCTCAGCCCAAGAAGAACGGAAGTAAATAAGGTTGATAATTCCTTTGTTTGGTCCTTCTCAAAAAAATAATTCCTTTGTTTGGTTTAAAATTAAAGAGTGAAAAAACACTACCCCTTTGCATTAGCATTCTCAATGCCTCCAAAGTTGGAAAGGAGCAAGTAAATATTTTCTACTATCCTTCCAACTTTATGGAACAACTTGAATGGTAATATAAATATTTTGCTGGAGAAGCAAATCACTAAGCCCTCCCCCGCTTTGAACAAAAGAAGGTGCAAATCTAACTTTAGTAGTATGAAAAGGAAAGTAGACGAGAATAAAAGCCCATTCTGACAACATATCATCATTAATCTAAGAGCCCGTTTGGTTTAGCCGATTGAAAGTAGTTGATAAGCATTAAGTGCGAAAGAGTACTTTTTTGTGTTGAAACTGATTTTATAAATTAGTAGTAATTACGTGCTTAGGTAGAAGTGATAAAATTGAAAATAAGCAGCTCATGTGTTTGCGTAGAAAATGCTGATAAGCAATTTTTCTCTTAAAATGTCTAATAAGTCCTTAATGTTATTTACAAAAATTATAAATTATAAAGTATCTATAGAAGGAGAAGAACAGACAGACAAATATAGATAAGCAGCTCATGTGTTTGGTTAGAAAATGCTGATAAGCAATTTTTCTCTTAAAATGTCTAATAAGTCCTTAATGTTATTTACAAAAATTATAAATTATAAAGTATCTATAGAAGGAGAAGAACAGACGACAAATATAGAGTTGAGAGGGAGTTGGGAGTTCTATTTTGGGAAGAGTAATTTGAGAATTAAGAAAAAAATATTAGGGCTAAAATAGGAAAATACTTGGTCAAAGTAAATGGCTATAAGCCGAAAAGTTATAAGTTGAGAGTGGCCAACTTATGGCTATTGGATGATTTTGGCTTATAAGCACTTGCACTTTAGGTGCTTACCAAACGCGCAGATAAGTTAAAAAGTGCTTACAAGCTAATTTGACTAACTTATAAGCTTACCAAAACACCCTCTAGAGCAAGTGTCTCCTATTTGATTGTACATCAAAGTGAACCATGAAGTTTGCTCTGTCCTGATACTTTATTTACTTAGCAACAGCGCCAACCTTGACTACCAGCTAGAAACAAATGAGATTTTCCTTTGGAAAAAGTGTTTCACTGAATAACTCCTCTTTTCCCCAAAAGTCCAACACCCCTTCTCCTCTCCAAAAAAGCAGTCTTGACACAAGATTTCAGATCTTATTGCAAATTCAGAGTCAATTACAGGAATACATCACTGACACTCACTTATCCTTCCACAGTATGCTACTCCAGGTGACATCTAAGAAAATTTCCATCAGAATCGGAATGTGCACATATGATAGGCAAATTTATTTGTTAAAGCATCTCTCAATTTGTTATATCCTCCAACGGAAACCTTCAATAACAAATCTTCACACGTGACATGTAACAAATACTGGTCCACAAATTCCAATTCTGGATCTAGTAAAAACCAGCAACCGTCCAAACAATCCACCCAAAGGCCAAAACCAAACACAACCAAGAATGAATTGTTTCTAACAA